CTTTATGAGAGAGGTTACATTTTACAAATTAACCTTCTTATCCATATCAGTCATGTGTCTTAAAAGATTAATCCTGCTACATAAATTTTATAGCGTGCATTAGTACGATAAGACTTTTATAAGTGTTTTCTTTTTATTGAATATGTTTCGTTCAAGACACAAGCTTTAATCCTTTGTATTATTTCTAAAAGCTGAATTGTTTCTTTATGCTGGCACAAGCCATTTTATTTCATGAGAAAATTTGGTAATCAGTACCTCTTTAGCATGTTTTGCTTCTAATATATTAAGTTTATGGTTGCATGTAGCTGGTATGTTACATTGTGTTTCTAAAAAGGAGCTGATCCAAAGCCCATTGAAATCATTGAACTTCAGTGAGTTTCAGATTAGGCCTGTGCTTCTATGACTGGTAGCTTGACAATTCAGGAATAGCAATGTGTATCAAATACATCAACGACAGGTGATTATGTGAAAGCAGTGGTGGGCAGCCTTGTCAGGCTTCAGGCCAGAATGACCCAGCTCAAGTCAGAAGAGAGGAAGGGTGGTAATAGTACCCAGCGACTGCCTCCGCTTCTCACTGTAATGGCAAGAGGAGGGTTCGCTCAGAATGGGGAGAGTGACCATAACCAAAGCCCCCTGCTGCCAAACACCACCAAAGCTTCACATCTGCAGGTTGGATCCAGTGGCTCCATGGGTCAGGTGTGACCTGCAAGCTGTAGGTTACCACTCCCTGTCCTAAAGGATTTTTGACTCTAGTTTTTTGCAAAACATTTGAACAAACTTCTTAAATAGCAATGCACTTGCTGTTGTTCTTTTACCCAATATAGAGTAAAACCTTATTTTAACAACCCCCACTTCTAAGAATCCCAGCAGCAGAAACTGATTTTTTCCCATTATGCTGAAGCAGCAAATTTGACTCTCCCTATTATAGTGAACACCTTTTAATGAATTTTCTCCCAGTCCCATGGAGGTTCATTTTAGTGAGGTTATACTGTATCAGGAGTTGGACTTCTACAATCTGTATTCAATTCAGTCTTGTGCTGTGAGGTCTTAATGGGGTGAACATCCTTGAATTGCATATGCGTTCTGTACAAGGACAAGATGTTCATATAATCAGACAAGCAAAATTGATTCTGGTATACCGATAGTTATTTTTCCAACTTTAACAAAATATCCTCCATGTCTCCATATAAAGATTGAGACTTGATGGATCTAGGCATAACCTGGATGGAGGCTGCGTTATACACAATTGGAAACTACAAGTACCAGGAAAGAAATGTTCCTGAAAAAACAAACCACGGTTATTAGAACACTTGTCATCAAGGATCTCAATATCCTTTTGATTGGGCCTTCCAGCATCCCTGTGAGGATAGTAAGTTTTTTGTTATCCCCATTTTACAGATGGCGAAAACTAAGGCAAAGAGATTAAGGGACTGCTGAGCCACCATAAGAAAATTGAAATATCTTTTAAAGGTAGGGAGTTTATGCAGGTAAAGCACATGGTTAAATTAATATTGGATAAAATCCTTTTTTAATTTGAATTTCATCACCCTACCCATTTAAAATGTTGTCTTGTAAGCATAATAATTCTTGAATGAACATCATGGATTTTATAAATCCCAGCCTCACTGAAGTCTTTGGCAAAATTCCCTTAGGATGAAATCCTAACCCAATTTGTCATCTTATGGTTGCAGGGTGTGTGTGGGGCAGGGAGAGGATGACTTTAAAATGTATTAAGCATGGTGTACTTTTTTGGTTTCTCTCTTGTCCTCATCTATTTTTATTCAGTGGCTGTTGAAAGCAAGTGATGCTTAAATGCACAGTTGATCTAAGTGTGAAATGTTCTTGATAGCTGGATTCTTGCTGGGAGGAACAGAACTATGACCCAGGCTTAGTCACATAACTGTGCACTTTAGATTCCAAAATCCAGACTTGCACAGCACAATTTTTCATCTATTTTTAGAAGCATCAAGTAGAGTTCTGACCACATTTCGTACAAACTTTTCAACTAGTTTACACTTTTCTCCAAACCATTTTAGGTTGGTTTTATGCCTGGCTAATTTAAATGAAAGCTCAGTATTTTATCTCACAAGTACCAATTTCATAACCTTTAGCAGAAAAATGGAAAAGTTTTTTTCTTTTACTTTCTAAGAGGTTATGTTCAAAAATTGCATTCCAACAGGCTGAGATGCTGTATTTTTTTCCAAATTGTTCCCAATATCTCCTTCAAAATTCCACAGGTTGACAAAGATCAAATAGTGTCTAACCCAACTTTCTATGTATTGAAAGTAGCTTCTGTTTTCTTTTTTCTGCACATCACTTTTGCCTCCACTCTGGGGCTATAGCTGTAGCTTGTAAGAGGTATTCTCCCTTCCCGCAGTCCTGTCTTCCAGTGATCCTAGATTTTGGGGATCAGCAGACCTTTTTGATTCTTTGTTACTACACAAAGCATGATGTTCTTAGGCTCTCCAGATATGTATCTGAGGGCCTTTGTTACCTGATTTGTATTCCAATTCACAGACAAACTTATTATAGGAACATAAGTAGAGTGTACCAGGAGTGGCTAGATATGTCTTTGTGAATGACATCCTCAGGTTCCCAGAGACGTAAATAAAAATAATAGGGACTTTCCTTCAAGTACTCCAGATAGCAAAATGCAAAGTATCTCAGTAGTGTATTGGTTAGAGCTGGACAAATGAGACTTGAAGAATTATGCTGGGATTTTATTTCCCATATCAAAATTATTTAAAGAGAAAAGGTCAGTTGAGAAGTATGACATAAAAACGTTGCAGGAAAAGGTCATGCCCTGAACAAGTAGCGTAGCCAAGAAATGTTCAGTTTTGGAAGACTCTATTGTATACATATTGTCCAAAAATATAGTACAATCAGCAGCAGCCTCGCTTACACAGTTATCAGAGGAAAGGACAAATAGATTTAATGGAAGTCTTTATATGTCCTGAAACAACTTGGACTTTTGTTTTCCTACTCCTACCCTGCTACTGTTCACAGTTCCTAAATTGGGTATATTTTCCCACCTGGGCATCTGAAGATAAATTTCATGGACTTGGTAAAAGTTTTGTATAGTCATGTAGTTAGCTGTCCACCAAACCAATTAAGTTTCTGACTAAATGGTTCTATTTACTGCAGTATTCCAAACCAAACTAGAGATTTGTGAGTATAACATTATTAGTGTTAAAGCTATTACTAAAATACCATAGGCTCAATTAATAATTTAAATGCACGATAAAAATATGTTAAAAGGGGAGGGAGCTGTTAAAAGTAAAAAAAAAAAAAAAAAAAAAACCTTT